GGTCTATGAAAACTTATTCTACGTCTTGTCCACTAGTAAAAAACTTGGAACTAACTGTCAAATGTCTAGAACTTTCCATTGGTTGCTTTGGATGCTGTGGACAAAGTTGATTTTTTAGGGGCTGAGCTACTGTGGATTGGGAACGGCTAGAAAGATACTTGAGGATGCTAACCAATGGTTCATGGCTCAAGCTGTGGATAGAAATATTGCAGCCTCTGACGTTACACTCAATCGGCGAGACCAGAGGATTTGGAAGCCTCCCAAGCAGACCTGGGTAAAATGCAACATTGGATATACTTGGAACAATGTCACAAGAGACAGTGGGGCTTCTTGGGTGATAAGAAATTACAAGGGCAAAGTTCTGTTGAATGGAAGAAGATCCTTCTCTTCTATTTACTCTAAGAATGATGATTCTTTTGAAAGTTTACTTTGGGCAGTTGAAAGCCTTAGATAATTTCGGTATGGTAATGTGATCTTTGCATTTGAAGACAATGACTTGGTAGGTGCGGTTTCAAAACCTCAGACATGGCCATCTTTTTAGTATCACTCGGCCAAACTTCTTTGTCTTCTTAGAGACTTTCACCTTTGAACTTTGATTTTGAAAAAGCACCAAGCTAACTTAGGGGCCTTTAGGATAGTGGATAGTGTGATTTCCGGGTATCGTTTACAATCATACGTTGCTGCGGGTTTTCCATTCTGATTGGAAGATTTTTTTGCTCTAGAGGGTTTCTCTTCCCCTCGTAACCTTTTGTGACCTATGGCTTTATGATTGTTTTGGATTCTGATTATGGTCATGTATATTGTTTGTATCTCAACTCCTTTATAATATATTCTATTTCCAGTGAAAAAAAAACAATGACATAATAGCTAATAACGTACACCAGAAATTTAGCATCACCTTTTTTGACAGGAGGTCGTGGATTAAAAAGTAGTGGACATAAAATATTTAATATATAACAATATTTGATTGTATAGTCTATTGTTTACAATTGACGAGTCCAATTTAACAACCACAATTATAGACTTGATGTTTGGACATATTTTAATAGATTTCGTATTAAAACAGTCTTATGACTCGTATATTTTCCATAATACTATTATATTGCACCATGGTCACACAATACACAATTTTATTACATATGTGATGTGACATATAAAACCACAAATATCCCACAACCTAGGTTGCATGGAAACTCCGTTTCGAGAAGCGTTTTCCGTTCGAAAACGTTTCAGAAACCGAAACTCTCGGAAACTCCATGGAAATGCGTTTCCTAAAATATTTTAAATTGGAAACTCGATGAAAATTTTAATTCTATTATGGAAACGCGACAGAAATTCGTTTCCTAAAAATCTCAAATTGGAAATATGACGGATATGTTCGATTTCGTTGTGGAAATGCGATGAAAAAGTGTTTATTACGTAATAATTAAATAGTTTGGAAATGTAAAGATATATTTAGTACTTTTATAGGTTAAAAACTACAAAATTATGAAAGATTGCGTTTGTATATAGGTTCAAAACAACAAAATTATTATACTTTTTGTTTTTGTTAAGTTATTTAATATCCATGTGTATAATTTGTGTTGTTTAAATTGTTTTAAATATTGTTTTTGATGTTATTGATTC